TCTCTCTCTCTCTCTCTCTCTCTCTCTCTCAGTACCTTTGATTATGGATCTTTGCTGATCTGAGGTGTGTGGGTAGTGGGTAGTGGGTAGGTATCGTAGCAGTCTTCTCGCTGATAGAGAGAGAGGCTAATCACACCTGTGTATGGTGTCTACCTATGCTTAATTAAACCTTTGACGAGAGAGGTTTATCTCACCTGTATAATATGGTGTCTACCTACTGTTAATTAAGCCTTTGATGAGAGAGGTTAATCTCACTTCTGTAGGGTGTCTACCTATTGCTAATTACACCTTTGATGAAAGAGGTTAATCTCACCTCTGTATTGTGTCTACTTATTGTTAATTAAATCTTTTGATGCTAGATATCCCGATTGCCATTATATACGAGCTCTGTCTCTCTCTTTTCTCTTCGCTTACGTTTTGCCCGTTATGTTTGATGAGTGTTTCATCGACAAACTTTTCGACTCTTTGCAACCCATAAGGCATATTATTTATTTTTTACTGCAGGAGAAACGAAAAAAAAAAAAGTTTCATTCTTTTAAAGATTTTATCCACATAGTGTATCATATGTTATACATATATAATAATGTCAGCTATACGTTACTTTTCCTATCTAGCTTGCGGCCATCTGAGCTGTAGCCCTTTGGTCTATAAGGTTAGCTATCTATCTATGTGCTCTGAACAACCCATGACCGTTGACTGATTTCAGACCGAATGAATAACCTTGTGGAAGAGGAAGACGCAGACAACACAAAACGTGAGATGATGTCATGTCCTACCTTTCTTTATGGTTCTACCTGTGGTTATGGTCACTCTGAATGTTTGGGCGCTTTTAAGCACAAGGGGGGTTATCCGGAAAAAAAGAAACTGTTTTGAGAAAATTGAAAGTAAAGTTTTTGCCCCTTGTTTATTTCTTTAAAATACATGTACAAGGAGAGTTTTCTTTAAAACAAAACAAACATACACACCAGTGAAACCAAACTTCTCCTATAGATAGGGCAATGCCCACTTTTGGTGTAGGTCAATCACTCAACTTTCTCAGCTGCATCGATCTTTCCTACACCTGGTATAGATATAAGTACTCGTTTTTATTTCGTTTCTTAGGAGTTTTAAGGAGAATAACTGCAAACCAATTAATTTCAGTGCATCAATAAATGTGGCGAATTATAAGGCAACAATCTCCAACGTGATGGTTGTAATCTCCACCCCCCCCCCTCCCCGGTTAATTTTTCTATTGTTTTAATAAGAGTTTTACGGCACTTGCAACACAATAAGGTCACATAAGTGCAGAAGATTACAGGTGTAGTGTTACAAGAGAATTTTTTTGAAAGTTGTTCCCGCATCCGACCCGGACATTGGGGATTGCCTTGTTAGTGAGACAACTTCCTGGGCCTTGGGCATTTTGTGGTAGGGTGGCCAGTTCCTTTCCACGCCGCCTTTACTTCCCCCACTCGAAGTCAGGTACCCATTACAAGAGAGTAAGACACCCCCAAAAAAGAAGGAGGGGAAATAGAGACGATAGATGTTTGATAGGAAAGAAGAAGCAAACCGCACCAGAGCACCCTCCAACCACCCACCACTTTTTCTTTACACAAAACACCAAACGGCAGCGGAGGAAGAGGGAGGAGGAGGAGGGGAGGAGGAAGATACAACCTCCACAGCCGGTCAGCCGGGTACGGAGGAGGGCAAGATGGAGAAGAAAAACACAGGAGAGAACAAGAATGAGAATAAGGTAAAGGTCCACAACACATATTATGTACACACAAATACACACACACAAAACACACACACCACCATCACCACTACCACCACCACAAACTTCACACTATACTACCACCACCATCACCACTACCACCACAACCTTCAAACTATACCACCACCATCATCACCACCACCACCACCGCCATCACCACTACCATCACAACCTTTATACTAGACTAATCTACCACCATCACCACCACCACCACCATCACCACTACCACCATCACCATCACCACTACAACCTTCACACTATACCACCCCCACCACCACAAACTTCACACATATCACCACCATCATTCAGAAGTCATTGCTCTCACTACTCGAATAAAGCCTCCCACTCCCCCCGCTACTCTCTCTCTCTCTCTCTCTCTCTCTCTCTCTCTCTCTCTCTCTCTCTCTTTC